GAAGAAACCATTCTGAGTGAGGTAACCCAATCACAAAAAGACAAACCTGATATGTACTCACTCATATGTGGATTTTAGACATTAGAGTAAGGGATTACCATCCTACAATCCACAATGCCAGAGATACTAATAAACAAGGAGGACCCTAAAAGAGACAAAGTTTGTCCCCTGGAGAAGGGGAAAGAGTCACCATCCCCTGAGCAAATTGAGAACATGGGAAGAAGGGGGAGGGAGCTACAAGAGTGAGAAGGGAAGAAAAGGAAGGATGCAGAGGTCATGAGGGAGCAGAAATTTTGAGTCAGGTTAGATTAGAAGAAAGGACATATGACAGGTAGGATTTTAGTTGGGGGGTGGTAGAGGAGAAAGGGAGGGAGAAGGGAACTGGGATTGTCATGTAACTCAATCTTGTTTGTAATTCAAATACATAAAAAATAAATATAAAAAAACAATGAAAAAGAAAAAAAGACTATAGCTCAATGACAGAGCACTGCATAGCAGGGGAGGGCTTGGGCTAGGGGCACAGCACAATTGATAACTGCTTGCCTAGCAATGTACCAAGCCCCAAGTTCAGGTCCAAGTTGAATTCAATTCCCATGAAATTAAGCATGGAGGCATGCTCCAGAAACCCACGCAGAGGTGAGTGCTGGAGGATCATAAGTTGAAGGCCATCCTAAGCTACACAGCAAGTTTGAGGCCAACAGCAGTTACACGAGGCCCTGTCTCAAAAGAAAAAAGAAAGAGGAAGAGTGGAGAGAGAGAAAAATATGAGGAATACAGGTAAAGAGTATCTGGGAATTCTCTGTGCTGTTTTTGCAATTTTTTTGAAATCTACAATTATTTTTAAGATTATAATGAATTATAACAAAATATTTCCTATGCAAAATAAAAAGACAAGTGACAAAGTGAAGAGAACAACAGTATCCAGAAAGGAAACGATGCAGGTGACAAGAACCTAAAATCACTCACAATAGAGTAACAGCCAATTTTCTTCCAATGACTAAAAAACAGAAACAGGTTGCACCCTTAAGAACAAAGCCAAATGAATAACGAGCAACTGTGTGTGTTTGCTTGTTTGTGACAGGGTTTCCCACTGTACCCAGGCTGGTCTCCCCCTCAGGACCCTCCCAGCTCAACCTCCCAAGTGCTGGGATTACAGATATGTGTCCCTATACTCACCACCAATAAGCATTCTTAAAGTAGGACAAGGATGCTAATGGAGGAGAAGAGTTGAACATCTCACATTAGTGAGAAAGTATAGAAAAATAGTCACTGTCATTTGCTATTGGCACAATCTTTGAGGAGAAAAATAACTAGCAATA